CCCCCCCACCCCCAAACCAGGTCCCGGCAGGGGACGAGGCCTGGCGGGGCCAGACCCCCTCCAAGACCCCCAGCCTCAGGTGAGACCCCCACACACCCCAGGACCCCCTGAGACCCCCCCAGGACCTCCCCTGAGACCCCCAGGACCCCAGAACTCCCCTGAGACCCCCAGGACCCCCCTGAGACCCCCAGGACTCCCTGAGACCTCCAGGACCCCCCTTGAGATCCCCAGAACTCCTCTGAGACCCCCAGGACCCCCTGAGAACCCCCAGGACCACCCTGAGACCCCAGAGCTCCCCTGAGACCCCCCAGGACTCCCCTGAGTCCCCCCAGAACCCCCTGACACCCCCCCAGGACCCCTCTGAGACCCCTCAGGACCACCCTGAGACCCCTGAGACCCCCGGACCCCTCTGAGACCCCCAGAACCCCTGAGGCCCCCAGGACCCCCTGGAAGTGTTGGGGGTCTCCCCTTCCCCAGCACCCATGGGTGTGTCTCCCCATTTCCAGGGAGGACCCCCAGGGGGGAGGGGAGGAGGAGGAGAGACCCTGAGCCCCCGAGAGCTGCGGGAGAGGTCCTCACACAGGTGGGAGGGGGACACGGGTGGGGTCCTGGATGTGGGTGGGGGTCCTGGGGCCCGTGGGTGGGGGTCCTGAACATGGGTGGGGGTCCTGGACACAGGTGGGGTCCTGAGCCTCTGGGTGGGGGTCCTGGATATGGGTGGGGGGTCCCAGACCCATGGGTGGGAGTCCTGAGCCTCTGGGTGGGGGTCCTGGACATGGGTGGGGGGTTCCCAGATCCAGGGGTCCCAAATCAGGGGTGGGGGTCGTGGGTGTCTGGGTGGGGTCTCTGATCCCTGGGGTGGGGGTCTCTGATCCACGGGGTGGGGGCCCAAATCTATATAGGGGGTGTCTCTGATTCATGAGTGGGGCTCCCAAATCCATGGGTGGAGGGTGCTGGACATGGGTGCAGGTCCCAAATCCATGGGTGGGGCTCTGGGTCTCTGGGTGGGGTCTCACATTCCTATGTGTGTCCCCCCGCCCCTGCAATCCTCCTCCCTCACCCTTCCCACCCTCCCAGGTGCTGAGCCGCGAGGAGACCCCCTCCCACTCCCGGTTGGGTTTGGGGGGCTCCAGGACCCCCTGAGCCCTAAAACTCCTCCATAGGTGGAGCCCTCCCACGGTCGGTTCCCCCACGCCGTTCCCACGGAAACCAAATATTTGGGGCTGTGGCGGCGCGTTGCCCCTGGCAACGGCCAAACTTCCCAAAACTTCGCGAAACGGCCCAAAACGAGCCTGGAGGAGGAGAGGAAGGTGGGGAAGGGAGGGGCACCGCCCTGTGTCCCCGTGTCATCCACCCACGGGCCGAGAACACACGTGGGTGCCCTTCCCTCCCCTCCCCATCCCAGGCACACCCAGAGACCCCCGACCCCCCAACGGGGTCGTGGTGATCCCTGACGTCACTGAGGACCCCTGACGTCGCACATCCCCCACTCCGGCCACGCCCCGGGGAACCGCCCGGAGAGACACGAGTGGGACCGACCGGCGGAGGGACCCGAACCCTGGCGGAAACAACCGAACCTGCTCGGGGGGAGAAACCGAACCGGGACGGAAAGACCCGAACCGGGAGCCGAATCCGGACCGGTGGGACCCGAACCCGCCTGAGGGGACCCGAACCGGGACCCGAACTCGCCTGAGGGAACCCGAACCGGGATCTGATCCCGTCTGAGGGGACCCGAACCGGGATCTGATCCCGCCTGAGGGGACCCGAACCGGGATCTGATCCCGCCTGAGGGGACCCGAACCGGGATCTGATCCCGCCTGAGGGGACCCGAACCCAAAGGGACCCGGACCCGCCTGAGGGAACCCGAACCGGGATCTGATCCCGCCTGAGGGGACCCGAACCCAAAGGGACCCGGACCCGCCTGAGGGAACCCGAACCGGATCTGATCCCGCCTGAGGGGGACCCGGAACCGGATCTGATCCCGTCTGAGGGCACCTGAACCCAAAGGGACCCTGACCCGCCTGAGGGAACCCGAACCGGGATCTGATCCCGCCTGAGGGGACCCGAACCGGGATCTGATCCCGTCTGAGGGCACCCGAACCCAAAGGGACCCGGACCCGCCTGAGGGGACCCGAACCGGGATCTGATCCTGTCTGAGGGGGACCCGAACCGATCTGATCCCGTCTGAGGGGACCCGAACCCAAAGGGACCCGAACCCGCCTGAGGAGACCCGAACCGGGATCTGATCCCGCCTGAGGGGACCCGAACCCAAAGGGACCCGAACCCGCCTGAGGAGACCCGAACCGTTACCTGATCCCGCCTGAGGGGACCCGAACCCAAAGGGACCCGAACCCGCCTGAGGGGACCCGAACCCAAAGGGACCCGAACCCGCCTGAGGGGACCCGAACCGGGATCTGATCCCGCCTGAGGGGACTCGAACCCAAAGGGACCCGAATCCGACTGAGGGAACCCGAACCGGGACCTGATCCCGCCTGAGAGGACCCGAACCAGGATCTGATCCCACCTGAGTGAACCCGAACTCGCCTGAAGGGACCCGAACCCAAAGGGACCGAAAAGCGGGACCGTCCCGTCTTGAAACACCCGAAGCCGCCTGAGGGGACCCGAACCGGGACCCGAACCCACACGGGAGAACCCGAACCGGCCCGGAAAGACCCGAACCGGGACCGTCCCGTTCGGAAACACCCGAACCAGATCCGAAGGGACCCGAACTCCTCCGGAAAGACCCGAACCCACTCGGGTCAGTACTGGGGTTGGGGCGGGGGTCTCCGGGGTTTTGGGGGGAACTGGGTTGGGGGGGTGTGGGGGGTGACATCATATGGGGGTCCTGTGGAACTCCCCCTCCTCTTCCCAGGACCCCCTGGGACTCCCCTGGGGTCTCCCCGGACGTCTGGGACCCTCCCCCGCCGCATCACCCACAGGATGCAGCCAGCGCCCGGTGGGGGCGGGGCGACCCAGGAAAGGGGGAGGGGAGGGAGGGGAAGGAGATTCTCCAAGGCCTTATTTGGGCATAGCCCGGACCGCACCCACCCCCGGGCTGCTGGGAGACCCCTGCAAACCCCCCGGGTGACCCCCAAAATGCTGGGATCCCCCCCAACTCCTGTCAATCCTGCAGCCCCCCAACAAACCCCCAGCCCCCAAATTTCCCTCGCCCCCAATAGCCCCCAACCACCCCTCATCCATGACCTCTGGGTGAACCCCCTGAGTCCTGAGACTCCTAAAATGTTGGGGATCCTCCCCACCAAGACCCCCCAACTCCTGACAATTCCTGCAGCCCCCAAAATCCCCCCAGACCCCAATTCCCTGACACCCCCTAACCCCCTGTTCCCCCAGCCCCTGTGATGCCCCCTCTGTGCCACCCCCAGTCTCCCTGTGCTGTGTCCAGCTCCCAACATCCCCAGCCCCCAATATCCCCCAAATTCCCTGACACCCCAAATTCCCCTGACACCCCTGTTTTTTATCCCCCAGCCGCCGGCGATGCTTAGCTCCAGCTGCCCTCCGTCCCCCCTTCGCTGCGTGCAGGCCCCAATATCCCCAGTTCCCGACACCCCAAATTCCCCTGACACCCCAAATTCCCTGACACCCCCAAATTCCCCTCACACCTCTGTTTTTATCCCCCAGCCCCCGCGATGCCCACTCCGTGCCGCCCTCTGTCCCTGCTGCGCTGTGTCCTGACCCCCAGTACCCCCAGCTCCCCCAATATCCCTCAGCCCCCCAATATCCCCAGCCCCCAATATCCCCCAGCCCCCAAATATCCCCAGCCCCCAATATCCCCCAGATACCCCCAAATTCTCCTGACACCTGCTTTTTATCCCCCAGTCCCCGTGATGCCCGCTCTGTGCCGCCTTCCATCCCCCTTCGCTAGGTCCTGACCCCCAATATCCCCAGTTCCTGACACCCCAAATTCCCCTGACACCCCTAAATTCCCTGACACCCCCCAATTCCCTGACACCCCAAATTCCCCTGACACCCCCTAACCCCTGTTTTATCCCCCAGCCGCCACGATGCCCACTCCGTGCCGCCCTCCATCCCCCTTACTGCGGTGTCCTGACCCCCAGTACCTCAGCTCCCCAATATCCTCAGCCCCCAATATCCCCCCAGATACCCCCAAATTCCCCTGACACCCCAAATTCCCTGACACCCCTAACCCCTGTTTTTTCCCCAGCCGCTGTGATGCCCGCTCCGTGCCGCCCTCCGTCCCCCTTCGCGGTGTCCTGACCCCCAGTACCCCCAGCCCCCAATATCCCCAGCCCCCAATATCCCCAGATACCCCCAAATTCTCCTGACACCTGTTTTTATCCCCCAGCCCCCGTGATGCCCGCTCTGTGCCGCCTTCCATCCCCCTTTGCTGCGTCCTGACCCCCAATAACCCCCTGACCCCAGAATAACCCCAATTCCTCTGACACCCCCAAATTCCCCTGACACCCCTAACCCCTGTTTTTATCCCCCAGCCGCCGCGATGCCCGCTCCGTGCCGCCCTCCGTCCCCCTTCGCCGTGTAGGCCCCAGTACCCCCCAGCCCCCAATATCCCCCCAGCCCCCAAAACCCCCAAATTCCCCCAACACCCCCAAATTCCCCTGACACCTCTAACCCCTTTTTTCCCCAGCCGCCACGATGCCCGCTCCGTGCCGCCCTCCGTCCCCCTTCGCTGCGTGCAGGCCCCAGTACCCCCAGCTCCCCCCATATCCCTCAGCCCCCAATATCCCCAGCCCCCCAAATTCCCCTGACACCCCCTAACCCCTGCTTTTTATCCCCCAGCCGCCGCGATGCCCGCTCCGTGCGCCTCCGTCCCCCTTCGCTGCGTGCAGGCCCCCAATATCCCCCAGTTCCTGACACCCCCAAATTCCCCTGACACCCCAAATTCCCCTGACATTCCCAAATCCCCTGACACCCCCTAACCAATGTTTTTATCCCCCAGCCGCCGATGCCCGCTCTGTGCCGCCCTCCATCCCCCTTCACTGCATCCTGACCCCAACACCCCCAGCCTCCCAACACCCCAAATTCCCTGACACCCTGTTTTTATCCCCCAGCCCCCGCGATGCCCGCTCCGTGCCTCCCCCCATCCCCCTGTGCTGTGTCCTGACCCCAATACCCCTGCAGTCCCCAGATAACCCCAAATTCCCTGACACTCCCAAATTCCCTGACACCCCTAACCCCTGTTTTTATCCCCCAGCCATCACGATGCCTGCTCCGTGCCGCCTCCGTCCCCCTTCGCTGCGTGCAGGCCCCCAGTACTCCCCAGCTCCCCAATAACCCTCAGTCCCCCAGTATGCCCCAGTCTCCAGATAACCCCAATTCCCCCAACACTCCAAATTCCCCTGACACCCCCTAACCCCTGTTTTTTATCCCCCCAGCCGCCGCGATGCCCGCTCCGTGCCGCCCTCCGTCCCCCCTTCGCTGCGTGCAGGCGCTGTGCGCGCTGCTGGCCCTGTCCCTGGCGGCGGCGGCGGGGCCGTGGCTGCCGGGCGAGGGCGACGGCTGCCTGTCCGCCTGGGCCCTGTCCTTCATCCTCACCCTCCTCCTGCTGGCCAACGACGCCCTCCGCCGCCCCCCGCCCCGCCGCGACGTCCCGCTGGCCCTGGCCTGCGCCGCCGGCCTGGCCTGCGCCGCCGCCACCGTGCTGTGGCCGCTGGGCCACCTGCGGGGCCGCGAGGGCGGCCAGGGCCAGCCCCGCGCCCTCCGCGCCGCCGCCGCCGCCTTCTCGGCCGCCGCCGCGCTGGCCTACGGCGCAGAGGTGGCCCGGGACCGCGCCCGGCCCGGAGAGGCCGCCCCGTACCTGGCCACCCCCTCGGGGCTGCTCAAGGTGGCCGAGGCCTTCGTGGCGCTGCTGCTGCTGGGCCTGGCGGCCGAGCTGGGCGCCGCCTCGGGCTCCGCCGCCTGGCGCTGGTGCCTGGGCATCTACTGCGTGTCCTTCGTGCTGGGCGCGCTGCTGGTGGGCGGCTGCCTGCTGGGCTGGGGGTGCTGCGGCTGGATGCGGGACCCCGAGGGGCTGCGCTGGGCGCTGGGGGTCTACGCGGGGCTGGGCGCGCTGGCCTACGGGGCGGCCACCGTGCTCTGGGCGCTCTACGGCTTCTCCGAGGACCTGGGGGGCCGGGCGCGCCGGCCCTACGGCTGCTCCCCGGCCTGCCCCTGGGACAGGACCGTGCTGGTGGCCGTGCTCAGCGGCCTCAACCTGCTGGCCTTCAGCCTCGACCTGGGCCAGACGGGCAGGCTGGTGCTGCTCAGGGCCTGAGGGGGGGTCTGGGGGCGAGAAAAGGGGGAAACGACTCCTGAGGGGTGTGGGGAACCCGGACAGGGGCTGGGGTCACCCCGGGTGGGATCGGGCTCCTGGGTCCTCCTTGGGGTAGGATTGGGACCCTTGTTGGGGTCTGGGGTCCCGCCCTGGGGTGGGATTGGGACCCTTATGGGGATCTGGGGTCATCCCTGGGGTGGGATCAGGCACCTAAGGGGGTCCTAGACCCTCCATGGGGCAGGATTGGGACCCTTATGGGGGTCTGGGGTCACTCCCAGGGTGGGGTCAGGCTCCTAAAGAGGTGCTGGATCCTCTACAGGGCAGGACTGGGACCCTTATTGGGATCTGGGGTCACCCTCAAGGTAGGATCGGGTGCCTAAGGGGGTCCTGGATCCTCCATGGGGCAGGATTGGGACCCTTGTTGGGGTCTGGGGTCCCGCCCTGGGGTGGGATCGGGCTCCTAAAGGGGTCCTGGACCCTCTATGGGGCAGGATTGGGATCCCAACTGGGGTCTGGGTCCCTGCCTGGGAGGGATTGGGACACTTATTGAGGTCTGGGGTCACCCCCGGGGTGGGATCGGTCTCCTAAGGGGGTCCTGGATCCTCCTTGGGGCAGGATTGGGACCCTAAGAGGGGTCTGGGTCCCCTCCTGGGAGGGATTTTGACCCTTATTGGGGTCTGGGTCCACTCCTGGGAGGGATTGGGACACTAAGAGACGTCTGGGGTTACCCCCGGGGTGGGATCGGGCTTCTAAAGGGATCCTGGATTCTCCACGGGGCAGGATTGGGACCCTTGTTGGGATCTGGGGTCCCCCCCGGGGTGGGATCAGGTGCCTAAGGGGGTCCTGGATCCTCCTTGGGGCAGGATTGGGACCCTTATTGGGATCTGGGGTCACCCCCGGGGTGGGATTGGGCTCCTAAAGGGGTGCTGGATCCTCCATGGGGAAGGATTGGGACCCTTGTTGGGGTCTGGGGTCCCCCCTGGGGTGGGATCGGGTACCTAAGGGGGTCCTGGATCCTCCGTGGGAAGGATCTGGCACTTACGGGGCTCTGGGACCCCCATGGAGTGGGATCAAGTGCCTAAGGGGGCCGTGGATCCCCCCCCAGGGGAATATTGGGGTGCTAAGGGGGGGTCCTGGGGAGGGGGAAACCACCGAGGCCTTAATTTGTAGGGGAGCTGTGCTGACATTGAAAAATGTATTTCTGCTTCTTAACGAGCCTTTGTGTCTTTGTGATGGGACACGGGGGGATGTGGAGGGAAAGGGCGGGAAATGTGAGGGGAAAAATGGGGGGAATATGAGGGGAAAATGGCGGGAAATGTGAGGGGAAAAGGGCGGGAAATGTGAGGGGGAAATGGCGGGAAATGTGAGAGGAAAGGGCGGGAAACGTGAGAGCAAAGGGCGGGAAATGTGAGGGGAAAAGGGCGGGAAATGTGAGGGGGAAATGGCGGGAAATGTGAGAGGAAAAGGGCGGGAAACGTGAGAGGAAAAGGGCGGGAAACGTGAGAGCAAAGGGCGGGAAACGTGAGGGGAAAAGGGCGGGAAATGTGAGGGGAAAAGGGCGGGAAATGTGAGGGGGAAATGGCGGAAATGAGAGGAAAAGGGCTGGAAACGTGAGAGCAAAGGGCGGGAAACGTGAGGGGAAAACAGAATGAAATGTGAGGGGAAAAGGGCAGGAACTGTGAGGGGGAAATGGCAAGAAACATGAGGGGAAAATAGAGAAAAATGTGAGGGGAAAAGGGTGGGAACTGTGAGGGGGAAATGGCGAGAAACGTGAGGGGAAAATAGAGGAAAATGTGAGGGGAAAAGGGTGGGAAATATGAGGGGAAAGTGGAGGGAAATGTGAGGGGAAAAGGGAGGGAACTGTGAGGGGAAAAGGGAGGGAAATGTGAGGGGAAAAGGGAGGGAAAAGTGGGGGAAAAGAGCAGGAAACATGAGAGGACAAAATGGTGGGAAGTGCGACACAAAATGGCGAGAATTCCCCAGCGGGACCCCCAAAACTTCTCCCCCCTGCCCCCCACCAAATCCACCACAGAGTCTTGGAGGGAGTTGCTGAGACCCTTTATTTTGTTTTAGAGGGGTTATTCACGGGGCCTTGGCCGCCCTCACCCTCTTCTTCCTCACCACCACGGGCTTCTGGCTGCGCAGGATGGCGCTGGCCCGGCGCAGGGCGGCCTGGGGGGGCACAAACGGGGGGTCAGCACCCCAAAAATGAGGGGGGGACGACCCCCAAATCCCCCCCCTCCAAAGATAGAAACAACCTCCTCCCTCTCCCCAGGTTTTTGGGCAGTTCCTGGAGATTTTGGGGATCTCCCCCATAATCTGGGGGAACCCCTTCAGGGTCATGAAATTTTTCCTCTTTCCCTTTGGTTTTGGGACCTCCAAGAGGTTTTTTTGGGGGGGTCCTTCTGTTTTTGGAGACCAAACCCCCCTTTTTTTAAGGCTCCCTCCCCCCCCCTCAAGGTTTTTGGGGCCACCCCACCTCTGGATTTTGGGGACCAAACCCCCCACCCCTCTGTTGGGTTGTGGGACCCCCTCAAAATCCTGGGTCCCCTCCCATAGCTTTTAAAGCTTGTCCTCCCAAATTTTAGGGGGGCTTCTCTGGATTTTTGGGGCCTCCCCCAGATTTTTTTTGAGACTCCCAATTTTGGGGACCCCCTCCCCCCGAGATTTTTGGGGTCTCTGAACCCCCAAAACTGCAGGAAACCGCACTGGGAGCGACTTCCCCACCCAAGACTTTCAGAACCTTCTCCCAAATTTCAGGCTCCTCCCTTGATTTTCGGGGTCTCCCCTTGACTTTTATGAACCCCCCAAATTTAGGGACCCCCCAGGAGTTTTGGGAGGTCGTGCACCCCAAAGCCCCAGGGGCTTCCCCTCCCCTCCCCAAATTTCACGATCGCCCCCCTCCCGGAGTTTTCAGGATCCTCTATTGATTTTTTTGGGCTCCTCCCCATGTGAATTTTTGGGAGAGTTTTTTTTTGGGGATTTTTTAGGGGTGGAAAAGACTTTGGGGGGAGGGGGTTGGTGGATTTTAGGGGTTCCCCCTCCTCACCATTCTCAGGTCCCTCCTGTACTTGTTCTTGCTGATGAGGTGCCGGAGGCTCCGCAGGGACCCGCGGGCGTCGCGCCGGATCCGCACCCGCACGTACGACGTGGCCGGTTTGCGCTGCCCTGGGGGGAGAAAATGGGAATTTTGAGGGGTCCCGAGGATTTGGGGGTGCCCTGGGGGTCTTGGGGGGCACCCCAATGTAGGGGTACCCCAAAATTGGGAGGAAAAGGAAGGTGGGAGCTCCCGGGGTGTCGCACATGGAGTTTGCGCCGCTCCAGGCGGGAGGTTTTAGGGGTCGCCCCAAGGATTTTAGGGGGTACCCTGAGGATTTTGGGGTGCCTTGGGGGGTGGGGGGCACCCTGAGATTTGGGGGTGCCCTGGGGGAAGTTGAGGCACCCCAATGTAGGGATACCCCAAAATTGGGAAGAAGGAGGGTGGGGCCACCCCGGGGTGTCGCGATGGATCCACAAGAGGAGTTTGTGCCGCTCCAGGTGGGAGTTTTGGGGTCGCCCCCAAGAATTTTGGGGGGCACCCTGAGGAGTTGGGGGTGCCCTGGGGGGTTGGAGGCACCCCAAAAAGAGGGGAAAAGGGAGTGGGGGTACCCCAGGAAGGGATAAGGGGGGAAGGGACCCCCAGATGTGACGACGGATCCCTGCTCGGACGCAGCTTGCACTGCCCGAGGGGGAAGCTTTGAGGGGGTCCCCGAGATTTTGGGGGTCCCCTGAGGGGCGGAGGGACCCCAAAAAGGGGAGAAAAAGATGGGGGGTACCCTAAAAGTGGGTGGGGGGCACCCCAAAAGGGGATAAAGCAGAGCAAGACCTTCAGATATCACGACAAACGTGGTTCCTCCTGGCTGGGAATGAAGGAGGGAAAATTTTGGGGGGGAGAGGGAAGGGGTCCCCTGAGATTTGGGGGTCCCCAAAGGTGGGTGGGGGGCACCCACCTGAGCGCTTCTTGAGGACCACCACGATGCCTTTGCCGTCCGGGGCCGGTTCCACCCCCACGGTTTTCCGATGGATCAGCCCGTTGTAGCGGAAGGAATTCCGGGCCTTCAGGTTGTTGGGCTCCTGGGGGGGGTGAAAAGGAGATTTTGGGGGGGTCCCGAGGGGTTTTGGGGGGATTCCTGAAAATTTGGGAAGGGTTTGGGGCATCCTGAGGGGTTTAGGGATAGGGAGCCGAAGGGATGACTGAAAATTTAAGGAGGCTTAAAAGGGGAACCCCAAAGGTTTGGAGAAGGAATGAAGGGATTTGGGGGATCCCAAGAGGGTCCCAAGGGTCTGAACCCCAATGATTTAAGGTGGGGGAGAAGAGGGTTTAGGGGGCACTGGGACCCCCTTTGGGTGTTAATGGGGGGCAATTGGGTTCCTGAAGCCCCCTCTGTGGGGTTAGGGAGGGTCTTTAGGGGGGTCCCCCGAATATTTGGGGGGCTGGGGGAGCACCTGGGACCCCCCTTTGTGGTGTGAAAATCCCCATCTTGGGGTTTGAGGGGGAGTTTTCTGAGATACCACTGGAGGTCCCCAAACCCGACTCCCGTCCTGTTCTCCCCCCTCCCCAATTTCGTGGTGTCCCCCCCCAGTTAGGGGTGTACTGACAGTGCTGTAGGTCTGGTTGTTCCGCTTGAGGAGGAAACTGGAGCAGTTCCGCACCACCATCCACTGCAGATGGGCCGACATGGCGCCTGCGGGGACCGAGGAGGTGGAGCGGCCTCAGCGCCCGCCGCACCCCCGATCCCCCTCTCCGCATCCCTCCCACCCTTAACGAGCCCCCTCCACCCTTAGGGACCCCCCCTCCTGTACCGGGAAACCCCTCAAAGCCCCCCAAAAACCGCCCCCCAAAGCGGAGCCCCACGCGGCACCTCCGCTCGCTTCGGCCGCCGGAAACGGAAAGAGCGACGCGTCCCCCGCCGAGCTCCGCCCCCTGAGGGAAGCCCCGCCCACTTTCGGCAATTCCCGCTCGCCATTGGTGGAGCTCCGCTGGGCTCCGCCTACTCCCGGTCCCTCCGCCTGCGCTCGGCGATTCCCGTCACTTTTCGTCCATCTCCGTCTTCCTTCGGGAATTCCCGGACATCTTCGGGAATTTCCGTCCCCTCTTTCGCCGAGGGTCGTTCGGGAGTTTTCGCCTTCCTTCGGGTATTTCCGGAGAGAAAGGCGGGGCTTCGGCGGCTTCCCGCGCTTTTTACTGTGAGGTGCCTCGGGAAAACTTGTAAAAATGGGCGAAAATGGGTGGAAATGCGTGGGGTTTTTTGAGGAGTTATGAGGGGCGATGGTGATTTAGGAGATGTTGAGGAGTTTTAAGGGGATTTGGGGGTTTGTAAGGAGATATGGGGAGTTGTGAGGGGATTTGGGGCTGTGTGGGTATCTCTGAAGGGATTTGGGGCTCTCTGAGGGGATTTGGGGTTCTCTGAGGGGATTTGGAGCTCTGTGGGTATCTTTGAGGGGATTTGGGGTTCTCTGAGGGGATTTGGGGGCCTGTGGGTGTATCTGAGGAGATTTGGGGTTCTCTGAGGGGATTTGGGAGTCTGTGGGTATCTGTGAGGGGATTTGGGGCTCTGTGAGGGAATTTAGGGCTCTGTGAGGGGATTTGGGGGTCTGTGTGGGGATTTGGGGCTCTCTGAGGGGATTTGGGGCTCTCTGAGGCGATTTGGGGGTCTGTGTGGGGATTTGGGGTTCTCTGAGGGGATTTGGGGTTCTCTGAGGGAATTTGGGGCTCTGTGAGGGGATTTGGGGGCCTATGGGTATCTCTGAGGGGATTTGGGGCTCTCTGAGGGGATTTGGGGTTCTCTGAGGGGATTTGGGGGTCTGGGGGTATCTCTGAGGGGATTTGGGGCTCTGTGGGTATCTCTGAGGGGATTTGGGGGTCTCTGAGGGGATTTGGGGCTCTGTGAGGGGGTTTGGGGGTCTGGGGGTATCTCTGAGGGGATTTGGGGCTCTGTGGGTATCTCTGGAGGGGATTTGGGGGTCTCTGAGGGGATTTGGGGCTCTGTGAGGGGGTTTGGGGCTCTGTGGGTATCTCTGAGGGGATTTGGGGCTCTCTGAGGGGATTTGGGGCTCTGTGGGTATCTCTGAGGGGATTTGGGGTTCTCTGAGGGGATTTGGGGCTCTGTGGGTATCTCTGAGGGGATTTGGGGTTCTCTGAGGGATTTGGGGCTCTGTGGGTATCTCTGAGGGGATTTGGGGGTCTCTGAGGATTTGGGGCTCTGTGGGTATCTCTGAGGGGATTTGGGGTTCTCTGAGGGGATTTGGGGCTCTGTGGGTATCTCTGAGGGGATTTGGGAGTCTCTGAGGGGATTTGGGGCTCTGTGGGTATCTCTGAGGGGATTTGGGGTTCTCTGAGGGGATTTGGGGCTCTGTGGGTATCTCTGAGGGGATTGGGGGGCTGTGAGGGGATTCGGGGGATGAGTGACGTTTTGGGGGTGTCAGTGGCTATTTGAGGGGGGATCAATGACAGCCTGGGGGTCAGTGACACTGAGGGGGCTCAGTGACAGCCTGAGGGGTGTCAATGGTTATTTAGGGGGTCAGTGACACTCAGGGGGTCGATGACTGTTTGGGGGTCAGTGACGGTGTCGGGGGGATCAATGACAGCCGAGGGGGCCGATAACATTGAGGGGGTCGATGGCACTCAGGGGGCTCAGACGACACTGAGGGGTCGATGACATTGAGGGGGTCGATGGCACTCAGGGGGCTCAGTGATGCTGAGGGGGTCGATGACATTGAGGGGGGTCGATGGCACTCAGGGGGCTCAGTGATGCTGAGGGGGTCGATGGCACTCAGGGGTCTCAGTGACGCTGAGGGGGTTATGACACTGGGGGGCTCAGTGACGCTGAGGGGGTCGATGGCACTCAGAGGGTCGGTGACACTCGGGGCTCAGTGACGCTGAGGGGGTCGATGGCACTCAGGGGGAGTCGATGGCACTGGGGGGTCGATGACACTCAGGGGGTCGATGACACTGAGGGGGTCGATGGCACTGAGGGGGTCGATGGCACTCAGGGGGTCGATGACACTCAGGGGCTCAGTGACGCCGGGAGGGGCCTGGGTGACGCCGTTTTTCGGGAGGGGGCCGTGAGCGTGGCGTGGGGGCGGCCATGGGTTTGGGGGCTTTGGCTCTGGCTGCCGTGCTGGTTTGGGGGGCCCTTCCAGCTGCAGGAGGCGCTGAGGGGGCTGCGGGGGGAGAACGCCCGGCTCGAGGGCACCCTCAGGAACCTCAGCAGAGCCCTGGGGGCTCTCAGAGCCCGCCTCAGGGACCCCCCCGGTGAGTAGGACCCCCAAAAACCACCCTGAGAACCCCAAAAACCACCCTGAGACCCCCAAAAACCACCCTGAGACCCCTAAAAACCACCCTGAGACCCCCTGAAACCCTCAAACCCTGCCTCAGGGACCCACCCGGTGAGTAGGACCCCCAAAAACCACCCTGAGACCCCCCAAAATTACCCTGTGACCCCCAAAAACCACCCTGAGACCCCCTGAGATCCCCAAACCCCGCCTCAGGGACCCCCCCGGTGAGTGGGACCCCCAAAACCCACCCTGAGACCCCCAAAATTACCCTGAGACCCCTAAAAACCACCCTGAGACCCCCAAACCTGCCCTGAGACCCCCAAACCTGCCCTGAGAGCACCCAAAACCACCTTGAGGAACCTCAGCAGAGCCCTGGGGGCTCTCAGAGCCCGCCTCAGGGACCCCCCCAGTGAGTAGGACCCCCCAAAATTACCCTGAGACCCCTAAAAACCACCCTGAGACCCCCAAAAACCACCCTGAGACCCTCAAAAATTACCCTGAGACCCCCAAACCTGCCCTGAGACCCCCCAAATCCACCCTGAGACCCCTAAAAACCACCCTGAGACCCCTAAAAACCACCCTGAGACCTCCCAAAAACCACCCTGGGACCCCTAAAACCCACCCTGAGACCCCCAAACCCCGGCTCAGGGACCCCCCTGGTGAGTGGCACCCCCAAAAACCACCCTGAGACCCCTAAAAACCACCCTGAGACCCCTAAAAACCACCCTGAGACCCCCTGAAACCCCCAAACCCCGCCTCAGGGACCCCCCCGGTGAGTGGGACCCCCAAAACCCACCCTGAGACCCCCAAAAATTACCCTGAGACCCCTAAAAACCACCCTGAGACCCCCAAACCTGCCCTGAGACCCCCCAAACCTGCCCTGAGACCCCTTGAAACCCCCAAACCCCACCTCAGGGACCCCCCCGGTGAGTAGGACCCCCAAAATTACCCTGAGACCCCTAAAACCACCCTGAGACCCCTAAAAACCACCCTGAGACCTCCCAAAAACCACCCTGAGACCCCTAAAACCACCCTGAGAGCCCCAAAACCACCTCTGAGAACCCCAAACCCCGGCTCAGGGACCCCCCCGGTGAGTGGCACCCCAAAACCCACCCTAAGACCCCCAAAACCACCTTTAGACCCCCAAAAACCACCCCAAGACTTCCCCAGGCCCTCCCTGGCCCCTTCGTACCCTCCCCCCAAGCCCCCTGAACCCCCTCAAAATCCCCAAGCTCCCCCAAAACCCCCTTGAGCCCCCCAAAATCCCCCAACCCCCTGACCCTCCCTCAAAACTCCCCAAACCCCTCCCAGACCCCCCAAACCTCCTGAGCCCCCAAAATCCCCCCAAC